TTTTTTATTTAAAAATATATTAAAATAAATATTTTTTTATTTTTAATGTTAGCATGTTAAAATGATTGAAAAACACTAAAAATAACTTTTTAAAATAAATAAATAAAAAATTAAAATGCATGGTTGGATCGCTTAAAGTGATGCATAGCCTTTGAGATTTTCAATTCCAATAATTTGAATTACAGATCTATTATGCCTATGTAAAAAACCTAAAATATATGTTTTTGAGCTAGATGGGTAAGTATACTTTTGAGCTTAATAGGAACTGGTCCATTTGCCCACATAATTTGCCGCAAATTGGACTAACTTTTTTTAAGATGTCAAAAAAGAGTGTGAGAATTTTTTTGCAATGCTATTAAACCTAGGTAGCGGCTAAATCATGAAAGTCCTTGACTTGGTCCTGCATGGTGTGAGTTTTCAACCAAACCATACAAAAGCTAATTTAATGTAAATTAGTTGATGTAATAGGTTTAAAGTAAATTTAAATGATCAGTTAAAAAAACTTAAAATATTTTTTAAAAAAAATATTAAAATAATAACATATTAAACTAATCCAATTACACAGTTCATGAATTTAATTGAGTTTAATAATTTTTTAAAAGTAACTTTTACTTAATTATATGTTAGAAATGAGATACATACAAAATCAAACATCAATAATAAAATAAATATTTATTTGAAACCATAATAACCATAAAAAAAATAAAAAAAATCATTTATAAAATCTATTTTTTAACCAACTAAACATTAATGGATGAAACCGATGAAAAATAATATTTTTTTAATTATTATTGACATGAAATAAAAGATCAAATTGCTCCTAATATGAAAATCAAGCACTTAAGCCAACTTTTAAAAGTGATTTTTTTAATAAAAAAATCTTATACCCAAGTTAAATATTATTTTTTATTTATAAGTATTATAGAAACTTAACTTAAAAAAAAAATATATTAATAACTTCAATCAATTAAAAAATATCAATCCACAGTAATTGAAGGAGGGTGAATGTGGAAGCCATTGTAGAAAAAAAATAGTAAATTTATTGTTTAAACTCATACATATAATATTGATTCAAGCAAATCGTTTAAACTTATATTAATATTTTAAATTTATAAAATTTTTATTTATCAACTAATTTAATATTACATAATAAAATTAAAAAAAAATAACTAACCAAAGTGAAAAGAGGAAATATTTTAAATTTATAAAATTTTTATTTGTCAACTAATTTAATACTACATAATAAAATTAAAAAAAAATAACTAGCCAAAGTGAAAAGAAAAAGAAGAAGAAGAATGAGCATCAAATGTGAAATGAGAAAAAAATGAAGGGGTAAAATTGAAAAAGAAAACAAATTAAAAAAATTATTTAAAAAACAAAATTAAAAGAATAAGAATTAAATTTGATAAATAAAAAAAAATCAAAAGAGAATATAATCTGAGACAAGAAAATTTGAGAAATGAATTATAACAAATGACATGTCTAATAAAATCAGGCAAAAATTCGTATTCGACTATTGGTTTGCAATCACAGGTAAAGAAAGCACTAAGAAATCACTGTTTTTGTTAGTTTATTATTTATATTTAATTTTGAATTCTTAGCTTAATTAAGCTAGCGTGAGAGAGATGCATAACCAGCCTCTCATGGCCCAACCCTTTATCAAGATCAAACAAATTTATCATCACTTCGCTGGAAACAAAACTACAAAATACATAAATATTTACAAATTCAATATTATTGGCTGTAAAGGCGTTTTTGAGTCCGTGACCGCAACAACCCTTTTGATTTACACCAAAAAAAAAAAAAATCATAATTCCATTAGACATGCTCCTTCTTGGGAAGGCATCCAGTACCATGGTAAAAGCTTGCATTGCTCTATATACCAGGATTCAGTTGTCCCAACCAGTGAAACCACATTTCTTTACGAGAACACAAATTCCGGCAACAATCACATTTCCTTCTTTTATGTCCAAAAATATGTTCCTACGGCAATACTTCAAAACAAAAAAGGTTGGAAAACTGGTGCAGAATGCACCTTTTTTTCTTCTTCTTTTTTTGCCGAAGACTGGCTATCCATCCCTCTCGTTCAAGCATCAGCAATTTGCTTCTACAGCTCGTCGGTCAACAGCAAAATATTGTCTAGAAGACATATTCTTCAGGAGGTGCTTCTTCTGGAATCTAGTTATGCACAAGGAAGAGACCAATTAGACTCACTAAGGTCCAGAAATCAAGAATTACAAAGCCTAAAATTCACTTAAAAAGTAATTGCATAGAAAAACCAATTGCTAATGCAGTTGCAGTGCTGACACTTCTAGCTCCTTCCATATTTCAGTTTCTCAAAATTTATGGGCTACCAAAAACTGATCTCTCAGTTCATAACCTCTGACTGGAAACACAGATCTAATTGCAAGTCCCATGTAAGAGAAGCAAAGAAGGAATTCCATACCTCTCCAGGAATCCATTTTTCCTTCAACCAGATGCTTGCATCCCCAGAAAAAGTCTCCCTTTGCACCATAGTTCTGAAGGATTATAAAAGGCAAATAAAAATTTAGCCGTGCGCATCTGATGTGAGCCAATAGACAAGTTAGAATTTTGTGTTCAAAACATTTTTCAAATTCTATCTACAAAAACACCCAGTAAAGAGACAGGATTATGTCTGAGTGGAAGGTAGTTCAAAGAAGATAAATGTCAAGCTAGAGAACAGTGGTTTAAAAAAAAACGATACATAAATATGAACTTGGATTCATCCTAGATGCAAGCTAAATGGAAAAGGAATGCCTTCGGCTAAGAAAAATTACAACTAAGGAAAATTGTGTAATGCAAATGCAAATTCAATGTTCTTAGACCTTAATCTTCTGATAATGACGAAGAGAGGTCTTGATTGTTATAAGTAGCAATTCCAACTCAAAACATACATCATTGTTTATGCTTAGAACGTGAAGTGGCACTCAGAAATTCATAATTTCAACAGACCAC